CCTCACAATAGAAAGTAGCATACTAGTGGTTTTACCGTAATAGCTTGAAATCAGTTTTCGTGTCCTTCTTCAAATTCGAGCTTAATCAGATATTCGTCCCCACTATAATATCAGAGGACAGGGCACTCAAATAACACAGAAACGCAGAATTAATAAACTATTTGTATTCATTTTTCCATCTAGCTGAAGTAACAGTGATACATCATGTCATTGGAAGAGAAAACGGAAAAGAAGCCTTCTGAAACGGATACTAAAGTAACACCCTCTTCATTGAATCGAGATTCAGAAGTTGACAACCTAGATGATTTGGATGATTTGGATGATTTATTGGACGATTTTGCGGACGATGTGTTGAGTAAGCCACCAGGATCTGCAGCTGCTGAGGGTACCAAAGAGAAGACATCTTCTGAAACAAGCCCATTCAACACTAACATAGAGGATTTGGTAAAGGATTTGAATATTGAAGATCCTGATACGAAGAAACAGTTTGAACATTTAGTCAAGCAATTTGAAAATGAACACAAGGATGATGTTGATAAGCTTGACCAAAATCCAGATTTTGATTCTGTAATGAAGGATACGATACAAAGAATGAAAAAGTCAGGAAAAGACATCGATGAACAATTGAAAGAGGACCCTGCAGGCACTAATCCAGAGGATATGCTTTCTCAGCTCTTATCGGGACTTGGTGGATCTGGAGGAGGTGATATGGATATGTCTAAACTTCTTGTAGATATGTTAGAGCAATTATCCTCTAAAGAGGTTTTATATGAGCCCATGAAAGATCTCAGTTCAAAGTTTCCAGATTATTTGGAGGAGAAGAAAGAAACTCTTTCTGCAGATCAACACGATAACTATAAGAAGCAATATGAGATCTCGAAACAAATTGTGGCGATTTTCGAGGAACCAGAGTATAACGACGATGATAGTAAGAAGAGAGAGACTGTGAACTCATTGCTTGAAGAGTTACAAGAATTGGGTCAGCCTCCGACGGAGCTTGTTGGAGACGCCGGAGACTTCCCTGGATTGGGAGGATTGGGGGGATTAGGATCCGGCGGTGGAGCAAACGATTTTGACTTTAGCGATAAAGATATACCTAAGGATCTCGAAAAAGAGCTTGAAGAAGGTTGCAAACAAACATAGATTGTCTTAATGAAATTCTAAATATTTGAATGAATTGTATTTAATATATATAATATCTATAGTGTGCTAAATTTCCAATCCACTTTTACTAGAGAAGGCCCTGTAATATTCCAACATACTCTCACCTATACCTTTAGAAACTCCTTTCAATGCATGATCAAAATGTCTTTTCTTAACTTCATTTGTTTCTTTGTCTTCCATAATTGCAGCTAGCCCTGCTTCTTGGCAAATTAGGGCCAC